ATTCCTGAGATGAGGTCCTTGGTTCAGACCTAGAGTTTTCTGTTGGCTGAAATCCTGTTGATTATGTTGAACAGTGCTTTGTTGGTGCTGAACTGTTTGGCTGCTTGACATATTCTCAGAGGATGCAAATTTAAGCAATCCAGATAACAGCCCCTTTTGCTGAGGCTGTGTTTGCTGAGATTCATCTAACGTCTGTTGCTGACCAGAGTAAATGCCAGGGATGTTCCTCTGCTTTTCAGCTTCCGAAGGTTGTACATTTTGTGGTATATCTTCTTTTGATGAAAACTTCAATAGCCCTGAGACAAGGCCCCCTAGCTGTGGAGCTGAAGAATGTTGTTGTGGGTGAAGGGGAGGAGAAAACTGTGGGGAATTACTGTTCCTGGGTGGCTGATTGTTATGGGAAGCCTGCTGTGGTAAACTGCCAGATGGGTCACTGGTAGAGCCAAATTTAAGAAGTCCAGAGACAAGTCCTCCTTGTTTGGGTTGATTAGAGCCCATATTAGACATGTCCTCAGTTGAGCTCCCTTTAAAAAGACCTGTCAAATAACTTTGTGATTCAGGCTGATTGGAAGCTTGATGATGCATTCCATGATAGGCTGCTGTCGGTTTCTGATTTGATGTTTGCTGTGCATGTGAGCCACATGTAGTTTTGCTGTTCTGAGATTGCTGATTACTAGTAAAATTCTGGTTTGAACCAGAAGGAGCAGAGGTAAGGTTAAATATGCTGGAAAACCATCCTTTCTCAGTGTTTTCCTGGGGCACAGCAGACTTCTGTGTAAATGTGGTGGAGGTTGTTGAAGTTGAATCATGGCATGGCTGCACAGTATTATCTGTGTTCACGGAGGCACTAACATCTTCACTGGATGCAAACTTTAAAAAACCAGAGAGTATGCCTCCCTCTGTTTTAGGATGTTGCTGAGTGGAGACACTTTCAGAGGAGAGGAAAGGCAGTTTAAGCTTACTAGTTAATGATGGGTCTTCAGCTAGTTTATCTAGTCGGGGATCCTCTGTGGATCTAAACACTGGATAAACTGCCACAGGTGGAGCTCCCTGAGGTGGAACGGGCACAGCAGGTGTGATCAATGAACTTAATGACTTTGTCAAAGGGCTAAAGAATCGAGTGTTTGCTGATTGTGTTTGGCCAGCTGGCCTTGCTGGTCCCGGAACAGGCACATTTTCTTGTTTGTAACTCACTGGATTTTGTCTGCCATTTATATTTTCATCATGTTTTTGTCCTAAATGTTTCTCTTGTGATGAACTTATTGTTTCTGATTTCCCACCTCCTCCTGTGATCATCGACTGTTTACCTTGATGAACATGTTTCTCATCCCACTGTATATTGCCTTGAGGATATCTGGACTTTGGTCCCTGTTTGTATTCAGCTAAGTGACTATTATCTCCTGCTGAAAAAAGGTTTAAAGGATTCAATTTGCCCATGATTGAGTTTCCTGGACCACTCTGAGGTTTGCTTACAAACTCAGGTTCATGTTCTTTTGTACTTGTTTGAGTCTGACTCGTTTGTGTTTCTTGATTATGACCTTGTGTACTGGCATCACATGGTGGCTTAGAAAGCAAAATACTGAATGATTTTTCAGGAGAACATTCTACTGGAGATACAACAGCTACAGGTGCAGAGCTAGTTGATTTAGGAATAAAGGAAAACAGTTTTGTTAGTCCAGATTGTGAGGGTTGTACTGTTGGTGCTTGTTGAGATGGGACAGGCTGTTTGGGGCATCCTCCAACTCTGTCAGTGAGAGAACTAAATAATGAGCTCATGGCATTTTTAACTCCTGAGATGTTCTGGTCAGAAGGAGTGTGTGATTGGGTTTCTCCTTTAGGATCCTTTGATGAACTATTTTGGTCCTCTCCAAAAGAATCGGTTCTAATGCTACCCTGGGATGATAGCCTAGATTTGCTTGATTTAGGAAGGGAACCGTACCTGCTGATTTCTTCCTCTTTCTCAGCAAGGTATTCAGAAACTGTTTCAACTAGACACTGGAGCTCATCCATTGGGTCTACATATTCATCACTTGGTTCCTCTACAGGAGACAGCATTGCCTCTGGAGCCCATCCTCCAATTTTAGCTTTCCCACACTTCTTCTCTCGAAAACCCTGAGAATTCTTTATGTGGCCCTCATAGGAGAAGGAATACCTGTCTTTGTAATGTAATGCGTTCTCTTGCTTAAAGTCGTCTGCTATAAAGGCAATGTCATCAATATCCTCATCTGCTCCTATGGAATAGTGCAAATCCTCAGAACACTCTAAATCAAAATCAAACCGTGCCCTCATTCTAGCATCTTGCTCTTTTTTGTATGCTACATAATTCTCCAAAGTGTTGTCCAACTCATTTTTAGCCCACATCCTTGTCTTGTACAGAAGCCCATTGTATGGCCTGAGGCATGATGTGATACGCTCCTCCTCTTCCTGCATCTCTGCTACCTGCCGCATAAACAGCTCCCCTCTCTTCTCACGGAGAAGTGCAAGATCAGAGGGAAAAGCCTCTTCTCTCATTTTGTCTTCCTCTGTACTGAGCAACCCTCCTGGGTCCCTTAACTTTTTCTTTCGCCGACGATCAATAGTGTCATATCCCTCAGGGTAGGTGGCAGGCAGAAAACCACTACGTTGAGTATTTTGACGGATGGGCGCGAGTGATGGCTCAGGGTAGGGTTTTCCCATTCGCAGTATAACATTGTCTTCCTCCTCATCTAAAAAGTCACACAGCTGAGGCTTGCCCTGCCCTTTGTATTTGTTTTCCCAATCTTCGACCCCCATGCCAGAATCTACTGGTATAATTCTGACCCTTCCTTTCTGGTTTAATGATCTAATTTAGGTTGAAAAATGGATTGAAGGAGGATGAAAGGAAATGGAGAAAGGATACAGGGACAGAAAAGACAAAGCAAACAAACAAGAAGAAAAAATGCAAACACAAGTTAAGCAGTATGATAAATGGAGAAATTAAGACAATCACAGTTTCATGCAAATGAAACAATTATGCTCTTCTACTTAGTAACCAATGTTGTAATAATATTACAACATTTTTAACAGATTACAGGACAAATAAGCATAAAAGAAATATATAAGAGTTGGGGACAGCTTTATTACACATTGTCATCAGAAAGCTAAGCTAAACTAAGGAAAAAATTTAATAAGAGAAATTGCCTAAAATACCTTGTTGCACATTTTAGTGTGCATGAGTAATAAAACTGTAGTGTGCGCTTCTGTGAATATAGACCTTTGTAAATCCCTGCAGCAATAGTCATGCTTATCAGCACTTCAACACTCTGACTGCCAGTGTTCATGAGAAATGCCTGCTTAATCAACACCACATGGCGTACATTGAATAAGTTTTTAATCACCAAAGAAATGTGTGAATGCTGCTGACCCACTCCCTCCATGGGTGATATAGGGATTTCCTCTGTAATGGTTAACCAAGTTCAGAGCCTTTAAAACTCAACCAAGAACTTAAACCAACACAACAGACCCTCATGACAAAAAGAAAAACAAACAATGAGCTTTCCCTGGCTGTAGTCCCATTTTTTTTTCTAATGTAGAATTATCCGGATCAACTCCCTATCAGTCCACACAGGCAGATTTGCAGCAGTCTCACTGGTACACATGTACTCCATGACAATCCGTGATTGAACAAAAGTAGACTCCTTGTGCCGAGACCATTTGTCTTATGGACCAAAATTGGCCTCAAAATATCTGTGTAGTGGTAATAATAAAAATAATAACAATGTACTGTTATGTAATAGCAGTAGTATTTCCTTCGTAAAGACACAATGGCAACTCATTCTGACTTAATTCATATTACTAAACAACAGACTGATGTGTCTCCTGATGTCAAGTCAGTAGAGAACAACAATAATAAATTTTATTTTACATTTTTAACTAAAAAGCTGGAAAGAGCTGAATATACTCCAGCACTTAAGCTGAGAATCCACGGTGTGACAAAATCTATTCAGCCTCTAGAGAAGCTGCTGAGTGAACCATCTACTATGGCACAAAGGAAAGCCTGCTCACAGACAAAAAAATGAAAGCACAAAGCTCCAGCCATGTTGGATTTTTGGCCAGGCAAACTATTCAAAAGGAAACTGCAATAATTAAAATGACCACTAAGGTTCAGTTTTTGCTGACGCTGTGTCAGAGGTGTTGATTCATTGTTATTTTACATACACTCACCGGCCGCTTTATTAGGTACACCTATTCAATTGCTTGTAAACTCAAATAGCTAATCAGCCAATCACCTGGCAGCAACTTGATGCTTTCAGGTAGGGCCCTATAATTTAAAATAATAAAATAATGTTACACGGAATGTCGCAGAATCTGCTAAAATGTGATTCCCCATCATTATAAGCGTCTTTTTCACAACATTTGAGCCAAACAAACAGAAAAACTATACTGCAATGTTTTGATTTACGTGTCGTTTACGAGCACCCTGCTTCTCTCCTCTGCTCTCTCTGTCTCTCTAGGAGGTCAGAGGAGAATGGGCAGACTGGTTTCGAGATGACAGAAAGGCAACAGTAACTCAAATATCCACTCGTTACAACCAAGCTATGCAGAATACCATCTCTGAAAGCACAATTGGTCGAACCTTGAAGCAGATGAGCTACAGCAGCAGAAGACAACACCGGGTTGACAACACCACTCCAATTGCCTCCACAGTTACCAGATCTCAATCTAATAGAGCAACCTTTGGGATGTGGTGGAACGGGAGATTCACACTAAAGTCTCTGAGGAATGTTTCCAACATCTTGTTGAAAGTAAGCCTCAAAGAATTAAGGCACTTCTGAAGGCAAAAGGGGGTCCAACCTGGTACCAGAAATGTGTACCTAATAAAGTAGGCAGTGAGTGTATATGGAGAAGCATTTCTAACCCTTTGTCTCCCTCATGTATGTATAGGGGGGTGGGCAAAGCATGCCTACATCGTAATACATGTATTCGACCGTGTGACAAAGTGAGTTTCAAGGTGTGTATGGGTCTGTGTATACTCAGTGTACCTGTTTTCTCTCTGGTCCCTGTATTCCAGGTCAAAACTGTGGATAGAGTCTGTGCAGGAGTCTGGGTGGTGCTGCTGCCGTGCCCCCATGGGATACTGGTGCATGGAGGAGTTGGGCTGAGCCGTTGTGTGGTAACGCGGAGGCAGGCTGTTACTCGTCTCACTGCGGTAGTCACTATCCCGGTCATCTACAGCGCTGTCCTGGTCATCCAGAGCTGCAACAGGCATCAAGATCAGCTGAATAAATTAATCTTCCCAGAAACATTAGTTAGTGTTTTTAGTTTTGTGTGACAGCAAGCATATTTCAAAAATACTTGCTTATCATTTATCCATGTCAAAGCTGACGGATTTCAGTCCAAATTTTGGAATGCTAGGTTAATAGGGTGGCTGCGAGGGCAAAGGTCATGCACTTTTAAAAGAGCCCCTTATACATGCAAGCTCTCCTATTAATGGAAGACTTTGTTGATATAGCTGCAACTGTATATAATTTAGTACTCTTCTAATCATAAAATGCAGTTGTTGCCACAGTTATAACAACAGACCCGTGCTGGTCATAAGAAGAGCACCTACATATAACACTTGTGACCTTGCCAGCCCCAGTGATGGCCCTTAGAAAACCTCTCTCAAGAGCTACCCATGACTTTGGTGTCTGCTGGAGGGGCCAGCTGGGGTTTATCTTTTCAAAGCGCTTTTCAAAAGTGAGAGGGAGAAGGATAAACTGATTGTGCTGATATAGAGTAAAGTGTAAGAACAACAAAATGTCAAGGTGATATGTCTAAATATAGTTTAGCAAATACTGACACCTATCAGTTTAGTGATGCAACTGCAATTCTACACTTAAAAGATTTGATATAGGCTCCTGTTGCTTAGCAGACTCTCAGAAATATTTATATAGGTGTAACTAATCATGTTCAAAGATGTTTTGAAAAGTGTTTCTGAAAAGCTGTGTGGAGCACCATTTCAGACCGAGAGAAAAAACACGATGAGTTGATGAGTTGATGAGTTGTCCTGACTATTTTTTCTTTTTCTAGGATGAGTGCTAAACCAATAATTTCTGGATAAAGTATACATGGGTCATATGACATCAGCACAGGGCATAGAAAATAGGAAAACAGCAACAGCAGGAAAGGAAGTTAAAGGAAAACACTGAATAAAAGCAAGTGTTAAAGTGACTAATGATCATAAAATGCATGGAAACCTTTATAGAGTACAAGTTATTGGGGTTTATGGGGCATTGGGACATGCAGAGGGCACTGAGGATTGGCCAGGGAGAGAATTTCATCAAAATCTGTTTTACATACTCAGTGGATCAGCCCATCCGAAATAGTTGCCTGGTGAAAGTGCAGACGTTACAAGTGAGAGGTACAGTCAGAGGAGGTAAGGGATGTGAAAACATAAAAAAAGTGTCCCTGTGCTGTAATAGTGGGAGGATGAGGGAACCCCATCAGTGGTTCTCAGAATGGAAAACAAAAAAAGTGAGCATTTTTAACATGAATTTGGGTTTGTAAAAATATGGACTGAATTTGAAATGTACAGTCTTAATTTTCAACTCCGATTAAGAAGATTCAACTGTTACTGCATTAGACAGTAGAACAAGGGTGGAGAATTGGCTCCATCTAGAGGCCGAGAGCAGCATGGGCAGACACACTCACAGCACTGGGAAGCCGCAAATGGCAGTGGGCGACTCTGAACGTCATCCTGAAGAGGGTACTGCAGACGAGAGAGAGTAAAACAGCAGGCATCGAGTATGTTTTTCATGTTGTTATTATTACCACAATAATTTCCTAGCACGACTCCATCAGCATTAACAACAAAAATAACTATAGCAGTTGTGTGTCATTAGCACAAGAGTAGTAGTAGTAAACAGGAACATACAAGTAGTTTTTTGTTTGTTTTTCAAAAGATACCAAAACTGTATTGAGTTAATGTACTTTGCTTGTTTCTTCTACTTTGCTTTACACACTGATGCTCTGTTATTCCTTCATATAAATAAAAGCAGTAAAATCTCTGTAATTTGCACCTCACCTCATCATCGATTCTCATGGTATTGATGCGTTCCAGCTTGCCTGTCCAGTAGTGTGCCTCATCATCTGGGATGTCTGGTACAGAAATATGCAGACAACAAACGCACATAAATGTGAAACTGTGTTTAAAGTCAACATCCTCTTCCCTCTGATTTCAAGCATCCTACTCCAGGATGCCATCATGAAAAATGGATGCCCGTTTAATTTCTCATGAGCCTCTCAGGAGTGAGGAAATGAAAACAGTTAGTTAGCAGTGGCCACAAACTGTTAAGGGGAGGAGGATCAGAAATGTCAGGAACATTTCATCATAGCGACAGAGATCCAATGTCCATACCAAACACATTTTACAAGGCAGTACAAGTACAGTAAAGTATCACATAATAATAAATACTACCTAAAAAAAAAAACTCTCACCAATCCTATTTTATAGGGGGATTTGTGCTGCTCTGTAGACAGATACACATTAAAGGCCACTCACACAAAGGCCAGGGCTTCAAAGACAACCGACCCACAGCTTTAATGAATGGCTCTGGTGGCACAGACAGTCATGGTGGCCTCCTGCAACCTTGAAAGGTCTCTTCTTAAAACAGAGGAAGAGGCCCTCTCCCACTCAGTGGACAGACACCCTGCTTTAACTTTGATGCCTATTGATCACAAGGCTTGAGCTCCATATGCAGCGCTGCCGATACTAGATATATAGGTAGACCTGTGGTCGAAAGACACAGAGAGCAGGAAGAGCACAGGGGACATTTCACCCTTGAAGAGCATTGAATAGTCCCCTGGGAAATTTTTTATGATATGAAATTAAGTGCATAAATTACCTCATGCTGTTAATTATCAACAGGACTTTTAACCTGAAATCCTTTTTATCACATTAATCAATTTATAGGGTCTAACATACTGGCTGATAAATGCAGTCCAACAAGGTATAGTGAGTGGGTTGTGGCCACCACTACGGAAGACAGGAAAGCTCTCCTGATCAATATTTTTATATATTAACAACAAATCATATTACTACATGTATTGTAAAAGGGGATGGTTGTATTGACAATCAGTGAATTTTTAACTGATTGTTTTGGTTTTATGGCTTATTTTATGGCCATGTTTCAAACAGCAGGCAGCAGTTTTCAGCAAAAAAGCTCTGATAAAACTCACCATACACTAAATCCCCAGCACCAAACAGCATACAGACAATGTTAACCGCTAGCTGGTGAAGAAAGAAGAACATCTAACAGCTAAAGACCCAGACAGTTTTCTCAGGAGTTAGTGGAGACTAAAAAAAGAGTTAACAAAGGGAGAGTTAACTTTTGATCTTACATTAAGGCAACATTATGAGCAAAGAGTGTATATAAAGTACAATGCAATTTCTTTGGAAGGAGCTAGCTTGGTATTCTCAGTATAATATATGTCAGAGGCTGCAAAAAGACCAAAGAAGACGTACGAAGAATCGAGAAGAGAAAAAGAGAAAGCAAGAGACCGATAAAGAGTTTATACACTCGGTGTTAGCTAAAAGGGCCGACAGGATGCAGGATAGATGCAGAGCTGGCCTTCTTGCTGTTGAACTCGTAAGTAATAACTTGCTTAATCAGCTGGCTTGCTGTGTCTTGTGTTGTTGAGCTTGCTTGATGTTTGCATGTGTTAGCATAGTTGTCAACTCGGCCAAAATCAGCCAGAGTTTTCACAGACTACAAACCTCAAGTTGATCTTAGCAAAGTTTCTAGATAACACAATCTGACATAAGTAACAATACTCTATGTGGCTTTGCATCGGTTGCTGACTAGCTTTGTTGGCTTGCTTGCCACCCAAATTGGAAGTAATATTATGCTGCTGCTGGTGGAGAGTGGCACTGGTGTCGTGCCGGAGGAAGGCGAACAGGCAACATAACCGGGCCCAGCAGCCTGTATGGACAGCTAATAGCAGAGGTGAGGAGACCATAGAGAACGTTGAAGGAGGAATCTAAGAAGAAAATGAGACTGACCAAGCGAGGGCCCTCTGGACGTTGCCAAGAGCTTCATGAAATAAAAGGCGGCAAGACAGATGCCAAGATGGCATTCTTTCTGTTGCACTAGTAAGTGATATTGCTTCTTGTGTTGTCAAACTTTCTTGATGTTTGGCTGTGTTAGCAAAGTTGTGTAAGTAAGTATCATCATAACAAATAAATGATCAATGCATGTGTACACCTGTCCTTATTTACGACAGACGTGAATTATACTCTGAAATGGCAAGGGTGCAAAATCACACATAATGTTACTTTATTCCGGTGGACACATCTCCAAATGAATGCTATTGTTGCTGGATGTATAAATAGGCAATTGATTGCTAACATGTAACAACTTGTTACAAGAAGGAAATATGTCATAGTTATGTGCCTGTCAGTTTGTTGTGGACTTCCTCTGGCCCCAGTTGGTCAGAAAACCCTTTTGATGAATGTCCAAAGGGACTCAAACGTTAGTATGATCGATAATGCTCAGCAAGAGCGGATCTTCTTTTCTCAAGTCAGAAATCCTCCCCAAAAACAATAAATGCAGCAAATGTTGCTGTGGGTGATTCCAGACACCAACGAGTAAGTGGTTAATGGACTGAGTGTCTCTCTCACAGACATACTCTCCTCTTCCTAATGTTAGCAATATATATATAAAAAGCATTCTTAATGGTTCCTGAATCCTGTTGGCTACAATGGATCAACCTGGAAAAGACAAAATTATATTTACTGAACCTAAGTTAATAAAGAGGAATCTGCCATTGATGAGTCAGTGCCCTCAATTTAAGCAGAACAGAAACTCCTCATCCCAAATGGAACCACATAGAGGACATTAGACAGTAAGACGAATGTCTGAGAGTGCCCTGTTTCTGGCCATTAGTTTTTCAACATAAGTGTTCTTCACATCATGCTATGAGATAATGTTATGTATGTTATGTAAATATGACTTCATATTCTACTCATGTAGAGTGCATGTACTGCTTGTACTGTATGTTGTCCATGTGGTCCTTATGTTTTCTAATCAAGTTAACGGATCAATGCAAGGTACGCTTGCATAAGACTACTGGACACCAGGTTACAAGGCATCACCGATTTTTTACACAGTGCCTCAGGCTGGATACGTTTTCCTGTGTAGCCTCAGAAACCGACTGCTGACATTTCACCAAGAAATACATGTGGCCTTTGTGTAGCTCAGTGGATCCAGGTTTGATTTGCCCTGCGGTAACCAGAATCACTAATGTTCTCTCTACCTCACTGTTGACAGAGTAGATACTTGAGATGACAGCATTACGAAACATCTTACATAATAGGGTTGGGCGATGTCTACAAAATTGCACAAAATTCGGGGGGGTTAAGTCATGCAGATGTTGGTTTTGATCGTTTGACACACAGCTCACCTGCTCCCGTGATAACAGATGTTGACAACTCAGGAAAAAAGAGAGTTCTGTCATTTGGCCGACTTTATAAAACATACTTTTGATGGAGAAAGTAAGGGCTTTCACCATTGTTGATGGATCGCAGCAGCCCAACCCTATCACATAATCACCTGAAACTTTGGTATGTGGTGTTCCTCGTTCTGGAAGTTCAATGTGCAGCTAAAATACAAAGCGACGGGATAACAAAAGGGACTGGCAACCATAAAATCTCACCAAAAGGCAGCTCAAAGCGAGTATCCAGTAGGACTCGATGAGGTGTTGGGTTCTTGGTGCCATATATCTCATCCGCCTTCATCAGGACCTCTGAATCCAGAAAGATCCAGTCGCCTGAGCCCTCCTGCAATTAGATATGTATATTGATGTTTACCTTGCTAGACAATTGGACCTTCCTTGTGTCAATTCTTCTACCTACATCATAATTATAATTTCCAAGAGGAATATGCAAGTATATCAGCTAGTCTTATGAAAGCTGGGCAATTTATTTCAGAAGCACTTTTGTTATATTTATTGAAATTCTCTTTACATCCCAACAGCAATCAATAAAACAAATGCTCTGTATTATTATTTTGAAGCTAGTTAACACTGAAGCCCCACTGTATCTGAATTTTTGTGGAGGTAAAAAGAATGCTGAAGTGAAACGCTGTACCTTTTTTACAAATGAGAAACCTAGTAATGTCAGTAGGGAAATTCAAAAAAGCACCCGTTTTAAATTTTTTTCCCCCCCAGACTGTGTGATTTGTGTGTGGGTGCGTATTCCAACCTCCTCTGATTGTTGAATACTCTTTAGAGGAATCCAGGCTGTCCCCACCATAGTGTCCCAGATGAGGCCTTTGTTCCACACCTCCACAATGAGGCCGAGGTCCAGCCGGTTGATTTCACTAATGAAAAAGAATTCAGGTATCAAGCAATGTCGGGCTTTGTTAAAGACCTTTCGTGATAAACAGTGTGGGAAATGTCAGTGGATAAAAAGAGAGAAACTTTATAGTTTGAGGCTTTGTTATCAGAATTAAAAAAATGGGGAGAAAACTTTCCAGTATGTCATTCAATTCACGCTCAATCAAGCAGAAATTTCTACATAATTACAGCCAGGCCCTACCACTGGCTGATAACAAAGGCTACTTCCTCTTTTTGTTGTGTATTAGCTGTCATAATCCATTCAAGCCTTGTTTTGTCATTCACCATGCTATTCAAAGGGCTCAAAAACAGCTTGATGACATCAATAAAATGCCATATAAAATCTAAAAGGGGCCGCGCGACAAATGCATTTGCATATTCTCATCTGTGGCAGTTTCGAACTACCGACGGGCCAAACAAAAGGAAGATGAGAGAAAAGATAATCAAAGAGAACAGCTAATTGAGAGAATTGCAGGGGAGGGGTGCTGAGTATCCAGGGTGTCCAGGTGCATAGATATATCTAAATCATGTGCTCATTCAAAATGGCCCAGAATTAATGAATCTAGCAAGATAGAGACTTCTGTTGTTTAGGTGTCATTTAGATTCTGTAATCCAATCAGGTATATTTTTATTTCATCATTTTATCATCCATGCCTTTTATTTTATTGAAACACAAATAAAATAAGAATGCAAATCCACTTTTGTCTAGACTAAAATCAACTGGCAAATGTCCACCTGACAGTAAGCAGTCTCTCACTTGTCATTTCCATATCACTTTAAAAACCACTTTATTCATTTCAAAAACGCATTGATGTATTTGTTTTTTTTTTTTTTTTTCCAGGGACAACACAAGGGCTAGTTTCAAACTGTTGTCCCTTGGCCAGATGTTAAATGAGCCATTGGAACAACAATAAAACACACGACATCTAAAATTAGAGTTAGGTAAGCAGACAATCAGCAAGCTGTTAATGAGTCACATGACAACAAAGGGACTAATTTGCATAGCATATGAAAGCATACAGGCTGCTTTCCTATGTTCAATTGCACCATGGCGTTTAAATATAATCAAAGCAATACAGTACTGTTTTTATTAAATGTATTTATTTTTGGCCCAAGTTACTTTAACATTTAAAAGAATAGTTTTGGGAAGTACACTTTTCGTTTTCTTTCCGGGTGTTAGATGAGAGGACTAATACCACTATTATGTCTGTATGCTTCATACGAAGCTGCAGACAGCAGCCAGTTAACTTAGCACAAAGTAAGGCTTCCCAATTTAGAGAAAAAGTCATATTGCGATTCTTGTGGACAATATTGCGATTGCGATATAAATGTATATTATTATAAAAATAATGCGTCTCCTTTCTTTATCAAGAAAAATGCACAAATATACTGACATTTTGAAATGTGTATTTGTCAAATCAAAGTTAAACAAACATAAGAAATAAAGTTTTTTCTTTGCCACCAGTCCAAAAATACTGATTTTGCAACATTGTAAACACTGCAAAATTAGTAGTATAATATTATAACATTAAAAAAAGTTAGTATGTAGTATAATGTTCAGTCAATAGCACACTGTTAGTGTTAATATACTAATAACTATAGTCATAATTTCATACTAGTAGACTATTTTACAACTAGTTGAATATTAAACAAGGGGAAACAGCCTGCCTGGCTTTGTCAGAAGATAAGAAAATTTGCCTACCAGCAACACTAAAGCTCAGTAATTAACACATTATATCTCTGTGGGAACATGTATAAAAGCAACAAGTTCATAAGTTTGTAAGCTGAGGGTATGTGCTGGACTAGCATGTGTCAATACTCCTGGTCAAGAGACAGTCCACCACATGATCCAAACCCACTACTTGTGCTATTGACACTGTACTGTTCACACAGATTAAACATACAAAATGTAACATGTTCATTTGTGTGATTTATTGTTTCTGATAGGTGGATCACTTTGGACAGACCCATACTAGCAATATCCATCTGACTCCAGTCTTTGTGCTAAACTAAGATAACCGGCTGCTGGCGGTTACTTCATATTTACTGTATGCACATGAGTGGTCATCAATCTTATCATCTATCTCTTGGCAAGAAAGCGAATGCGTGCATTTCCCAAAATACTAAACTCTTCATTTAACTTTAAAAAGCTCTCTGTTGTTCTGTCTGATACCAAAAAGAAACTATGTGCTATGTTTTCCAAAAAATGTCATCCAAAAGACAAATAATGAAAATCATGAAAAATGTCAAAAGGATCGAGCTGTTTTTAACATCGTTCACATTAAAAATGTTGCAACTGCTGCTGCAATAATTAGATTATTCTCAGAAAAGATAGGGGTAAATTCTTTCAAGCATATTTTGAAATCCAACAGAAGTAGCTGCAAGTTAGCTGTTGGGGTTACTTGAGCTGAGTCATCATCTCTTGATGTTTAACAGCCACGTTTTGTTGCAACAGGTGGTGCTGAACATTTGCTGGAAACGCAGATGAATGATTGTGTTTTATGTTGAATTAGACCTAGCCAACACATCATTAATGGACAGTAGAAGGATGAAGGTCTGGAAAAACAAACATTGTTGCAATGAGGGAGTTCACAAAAGACAAACAATGACACACATGCAACAACGCGCTGGCTCCCTCGTTACCATAGATACCTTTCACAGGGAAAGGAAAATGAGGAAATTAAACCAATGAATTATATGGAGGAAATTAACAGCAGCTGTTTATCAAGATACTTTCCTAGAAAAAGTTGCACAGCTTGTGAAAACAGACACCTTCCCAAAAAACATAGCTCATACTGGGGTTCAGAGCTCCTGGACCGTTTCCATTTTGGATCTGTTTGACGAATTGCTTTTATTGAAGAGCTCAAGGGATGGTGTGAATACACTGTATGCATCTGACCCAGAAGGACGCACCAAGTACTGGTCTTGTGAAGGGCACTACATCCAAGGAGTGAAATTTCACCAAAAACTTGTGTTCCCAGTGAAGGAAAGATGCCCCTGATTTTCACGACATTACAGTCTAGTACAGTGAGCAGGAGTTTGTATTGAAGTGTTCAGTGTACTCAAACAATTAAAACTGAATTTCTTAAATCAATCCTGAAGCCTGACCCCGCTGTGTCTGTGTTTAATAACTTACAACATGAAATCCTGTTCCCAGCAGGGCTGGGCCCCACGCACAGTGATAGTTGTGCTCTTGACATTCTGCACCTTCAGCGTCACGTAGGTGTTGAACTTGTCTGAAATAAAAGGAAAGGGGAGATTATAGTTTAAATTAGGAATACACTGAGATCATAGAGGGGCCTCTTAGGCAGATAATTATGTATGGCTATTGCAAAGAAAATGAGTAAATGAGCGGTAGAGAAGATGCAGATGATTAGTACAGTGTTAATATATCTGCATGGTCATTTATCAGTCACAACCGAGTCAAAATACACACTTGAAAACAGGCAGACCACTCAAACTGATAGAAGTAATAGTAACCAGGCCACTAATCTATGGCAAGCCTTTTAACATTTATTCTTTAAAACTTATTAGTCGCTACTTAAAAGCTACTAGTACTTATTAGTTACGAGTAACTATTACAGTTACGAGTAACTAACTAACTCACTCGCTTACTAGTAACTAATAAATAAGTACTAGTAGCTTTTAAATAGCGACGAGTAAGTTTTAAAGAAGTATTAAAACGGCTTGCCATACTAACCTGGCTTTGTGTAGGGGTAAAATACATCAGGAGCTCTAGTGAGAGCCAAGCCAACCCCGGCCAGCCCAGGGCAGGAACCTGACCCTGTTAATCTCCAAAGAGAGCCAAACCCATGGAGAAGGATCCAACTGCATGCTATGTCTGAATTACAGCTTCTCTTAAATCTACTCTTAATAACTGCCCTCTAAACATAGAGAATGTAACAGAGGACGGAGGTCTACTGATGATGTAATGAAGTGGAAGTCACTCCTGACCTGTTACTACTGCGGAAAGGTCTCTGTCCGCTCCTGATACCTTCAAGGACTAAAACTGAAATTTAGTAAGGTCAAAGGTGAAAGCAGCCTTTGCAAACAGTGTGATGTACAAACAAAGCTTAAATATGAAAGCTGGCTATTTTTGGTGTAAATGATCACTGCTGGAACTCTGTTGGCTTCTGAAACTGGGAGTGGAGACATGGATTCAAGTCTGTCCATCTGTCAGTCTGTCAGTCTGCATAGACAACTTTCACACCCAGTGATCTCCGTCAGCCTCCTCTCAGCCAGTAGTGTTTAACAGCGGAGCAACAACGACCATCTGCACCAGCTGTCAATGCTGGGTGGGTGAGGGGGGTGAAAGGGGATTAGGCGGCCCGTGACACAGCCACCACTTTTCATTTCCCACAGTAGGGCGAGGGAGCGTCAACACGTGCCTGCTGATGTGCTCAGTTTCGCTCTGGTAGTTACCAACCCTGCACCGCCAGTGGTCCTCCCTGATACTAGCCCTTTCTAGCGGCATAAATCCTACCCCCTACCTGGGTGTAAGAGCATCTGGAGGAGCTGGAGCAGCAGCTTAGATTGAAATGCTGATCTTGAGTATGGGTTGTTTCATTTACTGGGATGGATCACATTATATGTAACTTCATATAAATATAGTATGATTTATAGGGATGGGTATCCTTAGTCGATACCTTTATGCTATCGACCGAAACAGCCCAGTATCAAGTAGAATCTAAACGTCTCCAGTCAAACCAGTACTTCATTCGATACTTTTTATAACTAGATCATGGCAAAAAATTTTATATTATGGCTTTAACAGCCGCTTCACCTTCGGCTACGGTCTCAGGCGTGTTCGTCACTGTTGCAAGTTTATCACCACAATCTTGGCTTTCCATTGATTTCATCTTCTGGTATCATTTAACACTTCTCTGTACATTTTTATTTGCTATTCACATCACTTGTCATAGATCGATCAGCTGATTTTACTCACGGAGCCTCAGGCTGCAGCTGCGGCTGCTTCAGGTGTCACTTTAAGGATACTGGTTTTAGTGCTGGTATGGTAAAATTTTAAACAATACCCGACCCTAATGATTTGGGAAATTTTCGGGTAATTCAATTGTGAAACTGCATATAGATGAAATAACCTGGCGGGGATGTCTGTTTTAGGCTGATCCACTGAATTCAATACCTGATAAATCAAGATCCATCACACTGACGTACTACTGCTAACTGATTTGTTAATTGCAATGACGCAGCACATTCAGAGACATTAAAAGGGACAACTACCTTGGTATCAGTAAAGTCTCCACACACGTTATTATAACAAAGTGAGGTGTTCCCATTGGGTTTTTATTCAACCAATAAAAGCAGCTAATCCTCTCAGCTGAAAAGCTGTAACTAGATTTGCTTGAAAAATGACCAACGATTAATTGATTATCAAAATTGTTGCTGATTCATTTTCTGTCGATCGACTAATAAATTAATTGAATAATCCTTTTAGCTCTAAATCTTACAAACCACAGTAAGAATAGTGATTTAAAATACACATGATACAATAAAAGATAGTAAGAACAGTTTAAGATATATCTAATAAAACTGATAATGAAAAAATTAAAACCAAGATATGACACATGCTTGTATGTTGAAATTTCAGCATACAAAGTACAAAATATGTACCATTATTAAAAACTGGTAGCACGGTCATACCCAAGGGCAAACACAGTACAGTACAGTACAGTACAGTACAAACTCATGCACAGACACACACGTGCACACACTCTCTCTTTTGGTCCATGGGAAATAAAAGCAAGGCATCAGCTGCTCCTATGTAGACTGATCACCTGACCACACTAAACAAAGATTTTCCTGGTTGCCCCAGCAACATATTGAAACATTTACTCTGCACATAGCCTTTACTACAGCGGCCAGATAAGTAAATACAATGAGACAATAAACAGCTGACACAGGTGGTTTCTTACAACATTCCACTGACAAAACAACATAAAGACTTAATTAGGCCCCAAAACAAAAAGCTATACTGAAAGCCGCCAAAGACCCCACTGCTGTGACACCGCCTGAAAGCATCATCCATCCTACAAGTACTATGAGTGACAGGACACAGACCTAATTAGTGTCTCGAGAGGACAGTAGCAACAAAACACAGGCATTATTACAGAGGAGCCGGGGGGATGCTCAAACCTTTCCCTAATTAGATAGTCCATGCCTTGTCCCACATTGGGGCCAGCTCCCACGAATAGAAGAGATGAGATAAGGGAAGAGGATGTATGGATTAGATAAGAGCCACTTAGTGGCTGTGGCCCCTTTACAGCAGGTGCTGTCCACTATATGGCTGATACAATCTGCACTGTTGAAGAGGAAGCAGCAATAACTGCCTGTAAAAACACCAAGTATATGCCTGCACACAAAAGCCTGACTGAATCTGGATTTGTCAGGCTGATACAAATGTTGACTTTCTTTCACCTGTAACATTAACAAGATAAACACAAAACACTTTGGATGCAGACCTCTACACAACAATAAAGAGTTGTGCAGAGGTCTTATAAAGAATGACAGTTGGCTAAAAGTTCATATTAAGTAAGTAAATTAACTTTTAACAGGAAAATTCACTGGAAACTTTGTTATTACTACTTGACTGGGACATAAAGCAATTCAAATACAAAATATTCTACTTAGTTGTACATATTTTTACATTTGCTTAAAGAATCCTTCTACAAAATGTTTGTTTCAGTTATACTGAACATGCAGCGTCTATGTTTTGACAACATATACATACTGATATCCATAATGCAACAGTGACTGATAATACTGGCCCTCCCAATATCCTGGCACACAAACACGCAAAATACACACAAGGTTAAAGAGTGAAAGTGTGACAGTGTGTTGTAAAGAGGAAGGATCAGCTGAGGTGAATAGTGGCTGCTTGTCCTGTCCATGTTTGAGACAGTACTCACTGCTCCTGCCTGTGAACCACCCACTCAACCCTGAGTCCCCAGTCAAGTGTCTTCACCTATTATTGATTGATGATGAGTTTGTTTTTTTTCAATAAATTAGTCAGGGAAATGCAGACAGTTGGAAGGCTGACATTTCAAATTCAGACCACTCATCAATATTGCATGCAACATAAGACATAAACCTTTCCTACCATTGCTGGGACCACCCCGTGAGACATTTCTCCATCTACAGTACATAGAGTTCTGGACTGAACATAACAGTATAACTTGGGTTGGTATTCTGCTGTTAGAATTGTTGAGACAAAATCTAAATTCTTACATACCTAGTAAATGTGTGGGCAGGCAGACACACACACAAATCCAGCAACACAACCCTTATCAAGCCCTAGTTTCCTGTGGCAATCAGTGGAAAGTCAGACAGCTAGCCACTGCCCACCCAAGGTCACCTTCAGTTCTACAGTATTCTCCAGAAAAGTAAGGCCTAAAAGCTACCCATCTGAAGGTGTGGTGAAAACACAGTGCAAACGCACATCCCATACTAGTCTTATGTAAACTCATAATAAATCCCTGTCATTAAAATAAGTAATTTAAAAATTAGTAGATTAATAAGTTACACTGCACTGTAACTTTTACTGTCCTGTTTTCTTTTTCTTTGTTTTTAGCTTTTTACCATTGCTTTAAATTAAATATTTACACAGTGAGAAATGAGTAGGTAATTGAGTGAAAACATAATGAGAGTGAGATTGAACAGAGTGAAGGAAGTGGTCTTAAATCTCTCGCCCGAGTGATTTGCAGGACCCTCTGTCCACCTGTAAAAGCGCAGGTTGGTCTAGAGTATAACTGGATCAAAGTGGCCTGCTGACAGACATGTCCTGGTTTCTCTGTAGTGTCTGAGGGTTATTGGAGTTTCAGCGGACCCAAAGATTGCTATGGACCCGAGTACAGACTAGCTAGAGTGAGTAGATTAAGTGTACTTCTTTGTTTATTCTCTTTTCAGAATAATTGTAACTCAATTATTTGCTGAACCCCTCAGCCTGTTTTTATTTTCGATTTAACCTTTTAACCTTGATTGTACACTTTTATTATTTTATAATGTGTATTTTTTTCAATTTCCCTATGTTGCGTTTAAACTTTTTCATATTTCCCTGTTGCTTTTATGTTTTATGTAAAGCACTTTGAATTACCTTGCTGTTGAAATGTGCTATACAAATAAAGTTGCCTTGCCTAATTTATTCTTAAATCTGAATAAAACAGGGAAAGGGCTAGGTCTTTACAAAGGCTGAATTCCAGCAAGAATGAAAATTACGATGACCTAATGTCCCAAAAAATGGCATGAATTCCAGTAATCTAATAGCAACATGTCTTTCCTATAACCAAAGAGAAGATTAAAGTGCAGATCTACACAGCAATCTGTTACCTCCAGACTTTATGTGGCCTAAGGATCAGGAGAAATTGGATAAAAATGATCTGCATGGCAGAAAATTCTTAAAAATACCTGACTATAGTGTAAAATGTGCCAAAATCATGCTTTACAATAATGAGACAAACATTTGTTGATTTTTTTTTCCTTTCATAAAAATCCTATTCAGGCTCATTTCAAACGTTTTCAATATGCCAAACATTTGCGCACGAGTGTGTAAAACACAAAAATAATTTAACTGATGTTCGTTGCGATGAACTGTATTCTACTGCTGATCACTAGATCAGACAAAAGTCTCTTCACATATGTACAACTTAATATAACGAACCTGCTTGCAATCATTAGTTCGGACAACAGAAGTTTGTTAAATGGTACGATTTTTCATATGAACATACATATATAAGTAAATATACTATAATATTGAAATATTGCCCACCAAAAATTACATTAATACGTATATACTAGCTAAATAATTGTGTTCTGTCGTGAGAATGCTATATTCCCTTGATATTAACCCACCTTGGATTACTATGACCTGAATGACAGACTCTTTACAAACATCTAAAATCTGCAAAATATCCACCAAAACATCTCCAGTGACAATGATTTAGGTATACACTGCCAGATAGATTCTGCTGATTTCTGCAGTGAGTTCCAGAAGCACTGGACAACCATAAGCTGTATGAAGGGTCTTAAGTTATTTGCCATTCCTGAAAAAATTACCTCGAATGACAGCACTGCAACAAGGCAGACTGGCTTCTCATACACACAGGGCTCATTGAACTCCACTCTACAGTAGCATTTGCAAAACAAATTGATATTTAAAATTATTTAAAATATCAACAAAACCTCTGGTGTTCAAAATGTCATGCGAGACATGTTTGATCAAATCCTTCTTTGCCCTGAAGCAAAAAAAAAAAAAACGACTCATGTTTACATTTCGACTAAGGGAGAGACGACAGGCTTAACTGAATTATCCCTGATGTTTGCTCTGGGACAAGAGCAAGGGAGGGAGATCACAGACGGCCTGCAAAGGCTGACAATCTAAAACCAATATCATAGTGCAACAGAGCTGCTTGTCACACAACGCAGACACCTCTCAAAAAAGATGAACTTTTCCCCAAAGATGAAGAGTAGGGACTAAGAAAAATACACATTGAGTAGATGTAGAGAGCTGCTGTAGAATTAACTTTAACAATTATCTTCAACAAACACAGGGTCAGTGGAGACTGAAAAAGGGAGTGAAATGTCACCAGCAGATCCAAAGTAGCGGTGACTTTGTGTCCACGCTGCCTGCTCTTGCGAGAAACGTCACAGAGCTTAAAGGAAGGCATGAGGCCGAACGCTAGAGGGATTTGCTTAGGTGGAGTGTGTGGGGATTTGGACTTAGCCGCCAATGATCTAAGCTCACCTGTGCACGGCCTGGCATAGAAGGACACAGGATTACATAAAGCAAAATCAACCCCAGCTTTCAGTGACTTGCCAGAATTTGACTGATTAACCTACATCAGAAAATGGGTGCATACAGCATATTTCCAAAAACAAAAAAGCAAATCTGCATTTAGTTGAACTGTGAAGATGTCTGGCTCTATACATTGCAAATGGCCGCATTATTTGGGATTTAGGGTCAATTTCCCAGCAGCTCGACTTTGAGTGAGGGAGTTGTAGTTGTCACTGGACATAAAAAATAAATAAATACAGTAAATGTTCATAAAAAGTAACAGATTTGAGAATACAAAAAGTACTCACCTGAAGGTCCTTGGAGCTTAGCTTTTTTCACTGTAACACACAAAAAACAATCATTAGGCTAGTTGAAAAACATATTTGGAAATTAATGAAATGTGATATAATTGTAGATGTAATTTATAATAATACATTTTATTTATATATTTACTTGTTGCCTGTCAAGTCACCCAAGGACACTTTACACAGTAGTACAAAAACTAGGTTAATACAATTAAAGATAGAAGTGGCAAGAAACCAAATACACATACATGGCATATATCAGAATATATCATATTCCGAAGCACTAAACTGACCACTCTGAAGGCCCCATCACCCATAGTGCAGTGCTGGGGGGGGATCTGGGGTTGTAGGTAAATGGTGATCTAGCACTTTTGTAGTCTTCCGACCACTCACAGTGCTTTTCACCCACATTCCAATAGTGATGGCACAAATGGTTCCAAATGTTGCCAACATGCAGAATGGAGGAGCTGGAGATTGAACCACGACCTTCCGATTAGTGGGCAACCTGCTCTACCTCCTGAGCCACAGCCGGCCCTTCTCCATCCCCGCCCCATAGGGATCGAGAAGATTGGATAAGTAGGGAGGTGCAAAGCCATGGTGAGATTTATAAACAACAAGAAGTACTTTAAAACAAAGGTAGTATTTAACTGGGAGCCAATGCGGTTGCTAAAGCGCTACATAAAAACGATAAGAGGCGGCTGGTGTCCAAAGGCTTGGTATGTATGTAGAGTTGAGTGTCGTCTGCATAACAGTAAAAGTTAAAGGCATCTCGACGAAGTATACTGAACAAAATTATAAACGCAACACTTCTGTTTTTGCCCCCATTCATCATGGGCTGAACTCAAAGATCTAAGTTTCTAACTTTGTATATGTACACAAAAGGCTTATTTCTCTCAAATATTGTTCACAAATCTGTCAAAATCTGTTAGTGAGCACTTCTCCTTTGCCGAGATAATCCATCCACCACACACGTGTGGCATATCAAGATACTGATCAGAAAGCATGGGTATTGTGCCTTAGGCTGGCCACAATGAAAGGCCACTCCAAAATGTGCAGTTTCACTGTATTGAGGGGTCCGGAAAGTCAGTATCTCGTGTAACCACCATTTGCCTCACGCAGTGCAACACATCTCCTTCGCATAGAGTTGATCAGATTGTTGAGTGTGGCCTGTGGAATGTTGGTCTCTTCTTCAATGGCTGAAGTTGGAGTCAGGTCGAGACCCCGATGAGGATGACGAGCATGCAGATGAGCTTCCCTGAGACGGTTCCTGACAGTTTGTGCAGAAATAATTTGGTTATGCAAACCGATTGTTGCAGCAGCTGTCGGGGTGGCTGGTCTCAGACGATCTTGGAGGTGATGATGCTGAATGTGGAAGTCCTGGGCTGGTGTGGTTCCACATGGTCTGCGGTTGTGAGGCTGGTTGGATGTACTGCCAAATTCTCTAAAACGCCTATAGAGACGGCTTATGGTAGAGAAATAAACATTCAATTCACGGGCAACAGCTCTGGTGGACATTCCAGTAGTAGGCATGCCAATTGCACCCTCCCTCGATACTTGTGACGTCTGTGGCATTGTGCTGTGTGATGGAACTGCATATTTTCGAGTGGCCTTTTATTGTGGCCCCCCTAAGGCACACCTGTGCAATACCCATGCTGTCTAATCAGCATCTTGATATGCCACACCTGTGAGGTGGATGGATTATCTCGGCAAAGAAGTGCTCACTAACACAGGGAACGAATCTCCCATTTGAATTGGAGATTTTTTTAGGACTAGGGTAACAGCAACGATTTTTACACTGAGGGAATGGAGACAGATAAAAGAGATGGATTCATGATTTGTGTCAGCAGGGGTCAGAGCAAAAATGAGTAGGTATGAGGTCAAGAAGACGCATGATAGTCCTTGAGTGATTTTGCTTTGTGAAAGTCCATGAAATCACAGCATAGTTTAGTAGAAGCAGCAACAGGAAATTGTTTAGCCGGGCTGACGTAAGGGTCCTTAACCTGATCTTCATAGGTTAATACACAGGCACTTAAGCCGGTTTTCCTGCTGACATGCTCTAGTTGGTGACCGGCAGCCTTCGTTTTGCATAGCTCTGGTGTAAACCATGGAACGCAGTGGCAGAAGGACGTTCTACGTGATTTGAGTGGGGCAAGATGATTCAATGTATCTGAGAGGAGCACCATATACATAGAGGCCAGGTCATCGGATGTTGGTGTAATCATAAATATATACACTGATGAACCAGTAGGGAAAAACAGGTCAGAAATGTAAACATATGTTATTGAAGCCTGGCAAATTCATTTATATGCACACAAGAGAGCCATGAGCTGAATCACACAAACACATCAGCGTTGTTGTCTGCAAGAGCAGGAACACTTCATGTCCAGGTTGATTAAAATAGATGAGCTACTTGTTGTGGTGGGCAGCTTTGTGGTCAAAATGTTATTTAAAAAAAAACAACTCCAATGTTTTTGTTGAAATTCATGCGTCACCTCGCCTGGTTGGTAGGCTTTATGATGAACAAAAACACAAACATCACCACTCATGATCTTTTTTTTTTTTCTTCACCTTTTCTCTTTCATAATAACATATTCTTTAATATTATCAAGAAGCATAAGCCTAGACAGCTGTATCACAAAACACAACAGCTGGTAAACAAACAATGGCAAAAGTGGACCGGGGCAGACGGGTATTAAGATAACAAAACAAAAAACAAAAAAAGGTTTGTCAACAGCCATTTCAACAACCTAAAAAAATTATTTCAAGTGATAGATGCTTTCTGGTGTGTTTTGGTTTATTTTTAGATCTGCAATTTTTAACCCCTTGATGCATCTATACAATAACGTTTATGGGATTTCGAAGAGCTTTGGAGGGGATTAATTGTGATTGCAGTGACAGGGTTGTGTGTTCAGGCATTTAGCCCACTAAACCTCTGGAGCCTGAGATGGCAGATGGGCAGGACGGGATGATGGAGGCACAAATGACGCTTTCATATTTTCATGTAACGTCTGTCTTCTCTCTGTGTGCACAACAAAACGACTACACGGCAGAAAGTATTTATTTCTTTTTCCGTTTTGTCTGACTAACACTTTTGATTATTTGAATTAAACAGTAACATGCAGTAGTGATTCCCTGATGTCACAATTTAGCCACAAACATCCACAAAAATAAAAGTAAGCTAAGAAAACCCAAAGAGTTTGTTCTGTTTGCCAGTGTTGCCTTGTAGGATAACAATAGGGGGGAAAAACGTAATTTTGTTATCACAAAGGAGGAGCCGAGGGAAAAAAACTGTCACTTCTTCCGAAGCGTTTCCTGTCTTGTACACACTTCACTGTGAGAAGGAAATGGAGCAGTGGAAATGTGGAGAGAAAGCAGCTTGTCTGAAATTTGTTTTTTTTCCACTAAGGCTTTTCAGCCATGGCTCCCTCTCTTTGTCACTGGGGCAAATGAGCTGGCACTGTGGCCTTACGTACCAATTTGCATGATGTTATTTAGGGCTTTGGTACACAGAGCACAGGGCAATAAAGCAGGGGGCCACAATGGCGGAAACTGATGCTTATCATTTTCTGTCCTGGGACCTCCATGGCTTTAGAGGCCATTGGGCTCACTTTCTTTTTTCTTTTCCCAGTATGTTTACTTTCTTCTAAGCATGCCTGCAACTTGTTTTAAATATATTTAAGCAGGCACGTGTTTTGACCGTAGTTGATTCTGAGGCACTCCTTGGTTGTTTAGCTTTAGACATGAAGTGGATAACATCATATCATAAATAACGCTACAGGCCTTAAAATGATATAAGCCAGGGGTAGCCAACACAGCTTAAATTGTATCCCCCCCCACAATATTACCTTCTATCCTTTAGGTAGCTCTCAGTCTCTTAAGCAAAAGTTTTAGACAAGATAATTAAACTACTGTGTTCCTACTGTGTATAAACATAGGTACTGCATACCTATGTTTATTGACAACATTAACAAAGTACAACTGTCATCAAACCAGGAAGAAAAGCACAGAGGAAAAACAAATACAGAAGTGTCTTGCTGCAAAAAGTTGTGTATTCATGTAGGACTCTGATCAGAAACGTGTTCCAAATAAAAGGAAATCATCATTAGAAGGTCAGGCATGAAGCAGGAAAAGTAGAAACAGGAAGTGACACCAGAACCTGCTACAGGCAGTGGTGTGCTTCTGCTCTGTGCTGGCTGTTGGATCTGATCAGGTGGGGCCAATGTAAGAGGGAGAGAGCAACAGATGGCCAGGGGATTACTCCCACAATCTCTAAGCGCTCTCTCTGTCTCACTCTGCCTCTTTCCCTCATAATTCCACCACTCTGCCAGCAGTTTGGTTGTTTTTAGTCCTGCAGGGCCTCTGTTTCTCATCCTTTATTAAATTATTTTCCTGGAATATCTCCTCCCTTATTCAGTCTGCTGCAGAGCAAATAAGCAGGCTCTGGGCAAACAGTGTTTATGCACTTGTGATAACTAGTGCGATGCAGTTTCTGTGACGGCGTTCTTAACTCGTGACAGGAGTGTGTGCCGTGCCACATCATCGTGTTCAGTTGAGGAGTAAAACTAATTTGACCGTACGTCAACAGAAGACTCGGCATACAAAAGGCGCGATGATGCATAAAACAAGCTCAACATCCTGTGTGGACACTGTTCAGCCAGCAATAAAACCCTGGGGCCGATGCAGCAAGCATGGAGCCAATCCCCCACCACCAAACAATTGCATCTGATGCAGCTGAGAAGCTCTTCACTGATAAATACTGCTACAACGATTAGTTGATTAATCGGGTCAATCAACATGAAGTTTATCTGTGATAAAAAGTTTTTATCATCTGATACCAAGTATCAGTCCAACACATTAAAGTCATGATTCATTTTCACTTGGCAAACATTCATGTAACACAACACACATTAACCTGCTAATTGCTTTAATTGCTCACGTCTGCCTGCCACCGCCTCATATTCCAACAAAAACCTCCAGGGCGTTGTGAGCACATCACTGACTGTTAGCTGTCCTCCATCAATGCACAGCAGGAC